CCTGAAGTGCCAGCCGCAATGTTGCAGAAGCATCACTGGAGTCCGAAGGCGTGGGGAAACTGGAGAAAGAAGGAGCACATTGGCCAGTTGGAAGCTCGTGCCTTAGTCAAGTCACTTCAACGAGTGGCAAACACGAAGTTCGGCTTTGGCATTCGTCAGCTCCTCATTGTCGACTCCATGTCAGTTGCGCTTGCTTTTGAACGCTGTCGGAGCCGCAGTTTTCCCATCCTCCGACAGATTAGGCGCTTTGCGGCGCACAGCATTGCCTGCAACATATTCACCGGGGCCAGGTGGATTCCATCTGAGCTTATTAACAGCGCTGACGAGCCGAGTCGTATCTCTTCAGAAGTCACCTCTAAGACCCTGGCCGATCGCATCCCTATTGGCCATGGCCTCATCGGGAGCCGGCAGGGAGACCCGCAGGGAGAGAGTATTGCGGCCACCCGCAGTGAAACCGCCCGCAAAGGTGACTCAGAGGAGGAGGCTCTTGGTCAGACCAAACGAGGACCCGCAGCCGCGCAAGATCCCTCGACAGGAGAAGCTGGTGCGGCCGGATGTGGCGGGCCGGCTGAGACTCTTCGGCCTACCCCTTCTCCACTTGCGTTGGAGCAGGTGGAGAAATCAGGCCTCCCGGCCAGCCGCTCCCATTACAGTCGGATGGGAGGCGGAAAGCTTCCTCGGAGCTGGCGGGCCTTGAAAGGATGGAAACGATTGAGCCCAGGGCAGTCTCGCCGAGCGATGCCGTTGGCAGTCTGGTGCCGTCTCCATGGAGCTGGTGAGAATGGGCCAACTCCGCATGGCATTATTCCTGCTGGTGGGCTTGAGCAGCTACTCACGCCCAAGCGAGCTGATCAGGTGCCGTCTTTTCTCACTGGTCAGGCCCACTCGCGGCATCAACGCTCACTGGTGTCTGCTGCTCAGTCCCGAGGAACGGCCAGAAAGGTCAAAGACGGGGGAGTTCGACGACAGCATCCCCCTCGACTCCTTTTACATGAAATCTTGGGCCCCTCCACTGTACGAGCAGCTGAAAAAGGGGCACCCAGAATCGCCACTGTGGGACTTCGATTATTCCCTCTTCTCGAGCATGTTCTACCGCGCTTGCCGAGCCCTGGGGCTCACCATGACACCGTACCAGCTGAGGCACTCGGGGCCGTCGATAGACCGGGCGTTGGACAAGCGAAGCTTGCTGGAGGTTCAGAAACGAGGAAGGTGGAAAAGCTTCAAGAGTGTGAGCAGATACGAAAAATCGGCTCGGTTGGCAGCGAACTTCGGGATGCTGCCACTCGTCCTGCAGCGACACTCCCTCGAGGCCGAGTCTCAGCTAGGGGACGTGATGTTGGGGCGGCGCCGCGCCCTACCACCGCCTACCGTAGGCACAGCATAGGCCAGTACATTCTGGATTTGTTCTCCGGATGCGGTGGAGTCGCTCGTCAATGCCGATGGCTAGGATACAAATGCAAAGAGTATGATATTTTGCACGGGGCGGCGTGTGATCTTACGTCGCCCGCAGTACTTCGTCAGATCAGGCAAGACATCAAGGCGGGGAAGGTCGCAGCGGCCATACTCGCCCCGCCGGGTGCCTCTTTTTCGTTTTCCAGGGATCGCACCAAAACACTCCGGACTATAGACCAGCTTTGGGGAGTTAGCCCTCACTTGCTCAGCAACAACGAGGCGGCTTTGCTTGATCACGGCAATCAGTGCTTTAGGTCTGCTTTCAAGATAGTGGGTTGGCTGCAGACGGCTGGCGTTCCCTGGATTTTGGAGAATCCTCTGCATTCGAAGTTTTGGTGGTTACCGCCTGCTCAGAAATATTTGCGACATCCGGCATGTAGTTCAGTCATTACCGATTTCTGCCAGCACGGATGTCCTTGGCGCAGACGCACCTTACTCTTGTGCGGACACTTGGATACCCAGGACTTGGATCGCTTGGATCGTCGATGTGCGGGCCCCATCTGCTGCCGTACACACAGGCCTCATTTTCGACCCACTTCACGCGCTCTGGCAGGACACGGCGGGCCTCTCATGAGATCAGATGTAATCAGGAATCAGGTTTGGGTTAAAACCGGTTTTGAGTCAAACCTGAGGTCTGTTGGGGCTACCCGGGCCCAGGCTTGCTTCCGGAATTGACCTCACGTTCTCTTCCATGGGGTTGGAACCAGTTTTGAGCCTTCGGCAGTCATGGGACAGTGCGACCGATCGGCTTAAAACCGGTTTGGAGCCCAAACAAGAGCAAAATGGCTTAAAACCAGAGGAGATCTTTTATTGGCTTTGCTGCAGCTTAAAACCGGTTTGGAGCCCAAACAAGAGCAAAATGGCTTAAAACCAGAGGAGATCTTTTATTGGCTTTGCTGCAGCTTGACTCCGGTTTTGAGTTGGAAGAAGCCACTGGCCCAGACTCAGCTTAGAACGGGTTTCAACCCTCCTGGTCAACACCCCTAAACAGGCTCAAAACCGATTTCAACCCTCCTGTCCAACACCCCTAAACAGGCTCAAAACCGGTTTCAACCCTCCTGGTCAACACCCCTAAACAGGCTCAAAACCGATTTCAACCCTCCTGTCCAACACCCCTAAACAGGCTTAAAACTGGTTTCAACCCTCCTGGTCAACACTCCTAAACAGGCTGTAAAACCGGGCCTCTTGTAGGGCAACAAGCTTCTGAGCCATGCACTACCGAAGACAGCAGACGTGCAGGGTCACCACAGCTGTGCAGGAAGCAGTGCAGGGTGCAGCTTTGGAGGAGGGGCAGCAGCGCTTGCCACTTGTGCAAGCAGAACCCGAAGGCGGAGAGCTTCCTTCGAGTGTCTTGGCGGCGGAGGATGCCGAAGCCGAAGGCGAGCTCCCTTCAGTTGCCTCGGCGGTGGGTGCTGAGCACTCCTCGTCTTCCAGGGACAAAGGAGGGCGTGTCCGAGTGGGCTGGCGGGAACACGCGAGAGAGCAATGCGAGGCGGCATTGAGGCCGGCGGCCAAAAACTGGCTCCAGCAAAGGAAAATTGAGCATACCACCCTGAAGCAAAGTTCTGACAAAGGAGAGAAGCTTCTCATCTGCCACTGCAAAGCCTGTCAGAAATGCACCCTCATGTATGCTTTTAGACTTTTGGAGCCGGAGAAGGATGCAGAGGACCGCACTCGTTTTCTGTATGTGGAGAAGAAAGGGGAATGCCAGGGCCAAGCAAACGTTTCCCATCTGAAGCGAGTCCTTGCTCGAGAGTATGGAGCTCAGTTCAGCCCGGCCAAAGCGTTGAAGAAGATGACAGAAGCCGGAGTGCCTGCTGAGCATCTCCCGGCCATGTGGCAGGTCAAGAACCAGAGGCCTTCTTCAACGGCAGAGCACACCTACAGCACGGATTGCTTAGAGCAGCTCCGGAAGTTTGTGTCGGCGCCTCCCGAGTGCATTCGCATGTATGGGGACCATGTGGTTTGCAGTGAGTCCGAGATTTGCATCCCTTTTTCTTGTCCTTCCACGCATGATATATTGCAGGACTCAGGGCTGACGAGTTTTTTGCTGGACTTCACTTACAAGACAAACCGAGAAGGCCTGTTGCTAGGCTGTATCGGTGCTGTTGGCATGCTGCCAAACGACAAGGGGTTGCCGTCTGTTCGCATGATTCCAGCTTTCTTTGTCTTGTCCAACGCGGAAAATGAGCAAGCTCACACAGTCCTTCTTCGTCTGTTCTTCGAGCACGCCGAGACCTGGAACATGAAACTGGAAGATGCTTTCTTGGATTGCAGATGCCTGCAGGCTGCCATGAAGTGGTGCTCAGCAGAAGGCCGCAAGCTGTACCTGCACCGGTGCCTGCAGCATGTCAAGACCAACATTCGGGAAGAATCTGCCAGACGTGATGCAGTCACTGGCCAAGCGAGATTGAAGAATCGCGAGCTGTTGTCTGTGCTGCTGGATTTCGTGCAATTCTCTGCGACTTTGCCCAGCGACTTGCAGTTTCATACCTTCTGGTCTAGTGTCATGAGTCGCATGTCCGCTGCCTCTGCCCCAACCGACTTCAACGAGCCGCGAATGGCAGCTTACATCCGTGACAACATTCTGGATGGAACAGGTGGGTTCTGCTTGAAGGGTTTAAGGCTAGAGTTAGGGTTCTACGAGGCCTGCTTGCAAAAGGGTGTTTAGGGTTTAGGGTACGGGAACCGCGCAAGGGGGAACTATTTTCAGGGACCCAAGCCCGTATCAGCCCTTGGCTGCCGCTAGTCGTGAGTTTGTAGTTTTGGTGTCGACAGTGTTTTCCCTACCCCGTAGTTGCGAAAACTGAACATCTGACACAAACGAAGCACCCTGCACTGCATCTTTGGCAGGGCCGCAGTGGCAGGCAAGCTGGGTCAGTGGCCTTGGCTCTGTCCCCCTGGGGTTCACGACGTATAGTGCGAATGCCATTGAATCCTCGCATTTCGGCATCAAATACTTGATGGACGGCTCTGGTGCACATCTGGATGTTGCGGAGGCTATGGTTCAGGTTGGTCATGCTGTGCAATCCCGCGTGAGTCGTGGATTCTACAACAATTTGGTTCACCGCCTCGAGGAGTCTGAACAGTCTCAACCCTAAACCTCACGCCCTAAACGCTAAACCAAGTACGCTTTGTTGCCTCAAAGTGGTGCCCCAGTGCTAAAAAGTACGATTTGTTGCCGTTGTTTTGGCTTGCGAAGTGGTGGCCCAGTGCTAAGAAGTACGATTTGTTGCCGTTGTTTTGGCTTGCGAAGTGGTGCCCCAGTGCTAAGAAGTACGATTTGTGGCCGCTGTTTTGGCTTGCGAAGTGGTGGCCCAGTGCTAAGAAGTACGATTTCTTGCCGTTGTTTTGGCTGGTGAAGTGGTGGCC